GCATTTCAGCAGAACTCACGTAATTTGCTTGTTTATCTGTGCGAGTTTTGTGTGCCTCGTGTGTCTGATTTAATTATTTCTCACACAGACAGATACTTTAGCCACATGCCAACAGTCAGGAGAAAGCACACACACACATGGCTGGCAAATATTTGGCAAGGATCACTTTCAATTTTTGCGAGTGAAGACGGAGAATTCGGGCCGTGACTGGAGGTGGAAAAAAGTGCTCAACTTTTTGTGAAATTCAAGCAGGCAGTCTTAAATGCTGTGCACTCGGTCGGTTGTAATTTTAAACTCAATTAAATTGCCATTTCCCCCGATGCGAACATTGTGCTGGAAATTGTTTTGGGCTAAGCCAAAAATTAAAAGGAAATTGAATACAAACAAAAGGCAGTCAAATCCGATTGGATTGGATTTTTCCCAGTGCCTGCAGCACAATAATAATTAAGAATAGATATTTATGGCAGAGAGTGAAAGAGCCAATTTGTCTGCCAGCCGGATATGAGGAAGGTCTTAAGTCTCCGAAAGCCATAATTTATGTGATCCGCACATGCGAATAAAGGTCCGGAAATTCAAAGAAAACAAGTAAATATTTTCCAGCCGAAAATTGCAAATAAATGAGAATGACACCGAGCCATTCACTTTTGTTGTCTAGACTTCCGTCGAGACACTTGGCCACCCAATTAAAGAGGAAGGGGAAGCGAACGCACTTACAGATACTTAAAAGCATCCGGCAGATGCAGTATAAAAATATGGGAAACGGAAAATCGGGGAAAAGCCGCTTATGGCGACCAACGCTCAAGCCAAATGTTAATAAACATTAATTGCACAACATTTTCCACGAAGGCAGTTGGGAAATACTTTGCACGGATTTTCATTTCGGCCATTTAATAACGAACAATGCAGATTTCAAACAATGCCCTTTCAAGGGGTTAAAAAATAACCAATAGGGCTAATGTTTTGTTTATTGATTTTATACAAAGCACATTTCAATTATTTATTTTTGTTAAATATATGTTGCTTTTCTAGTTTCAGTTATGAAAAGAAGCTATTTTCTATTAGTAAATTAATTTTAAGGAGAAATACATATAATATTTTTTAGTAAGATTATGTTTTTTTTGAAAATATAATTGTTGTTCTATATAATTTCTATAAAAATATCATTCCTTTATCTTTATAATTAAGAAAAGTTCACCCACAAACAAGTAATATTGAACTTACGGTCAGCCATATATATTTATTATTTTTTTACAAAATAGCATTTGTTTAGCTATTTCAAGTTTATAAATTATACTTGAAAGCGTCTCGAGTTTCCAGCTACTCGTATATTTTTCATTCCATTTCTACCACTACCATTCTCTTTATTTTTGTTGCCAAGCCAACAAGTTCATTCCCAAGCCATTCACATTCACTATTTTTCGAGAGCATTTAAACTTCGATCCTTACAGCAACTACCTCAAAAAAATAAGCGGAAACACGAGGAAAAATCCTTCAATTTTTATTTCTCTCCCCTTACCTCATTCTTTTTTTTTTGTTCTTTTGTCTTTTCGTTTTACAGTTGAGCGAATTTTCTTTTAATTAATTTTAAATGAATGTCGTCCGTTTTGGCGCGCTGCAAACTTTCGCAGGACTTATAGTCAAGGGGTCAAGGGTGTGGTGTGGCGGGGGGGGCAACTTTGGTGGACAGCGTTGACTTTTAGCTTAATTAGCTTTTGGACGAGCAGCGTTTTTCGGAGTTCGCAGTTCAGTCAGGTTAGCTCCTGCTTCTCGAGGAGCAGGTCCTTGTGACCCCATCCCCTGCTCCTCCTACACTTTGCTCCTTCGAACACAACGTGCTGCAATTAAATATTGCATTCTGTGGCAAGAGTTGCAGAACAATACCGCCACTGATGATTTCAGTGGGCTTTTCGGTGTGTTGTACACAGATAAAAACAGATCGATATCGCTTAAGTATTAGAACGACAAAACTAATTGGTTATAGGAATCTGCCTTCGAAACCACTAAGGTTTTAAGGTATTTTTTAAAGCTGACCAAAAGTATGCAGTGGAAAAAAACAATGCCTTTCGGAATCAATCAATCGTTCTATAGTGCTTAAAATATTTTGTTGCATACTTTGAAACACTTTTGAAAGTGATTTCTTTGGCACGGTGAAGGTTTTGTGTTTTGTGTTATCTTACTAACATTTCTACATACCCAATGTTTAATCCATTAATTTTATATTTTTCACTAAAAAGCAAAGTGCGATTCCTGTAATAATATTTTTGTCTGTGTAGGCTGAGCACAGACAGTCAGAGACGGAGACAAACAGATGATGATGTCCTGTTTTTGTATACTGCATGTTGTCCTTTTGTGTGCGTTGCCTTTTGCGCTTTTATGCAACTTTGTTGTTGCCCCTCAGATATTGTTGCTATTGTTGCCGGTTGATATGTTGTTGTTTTTGCCGCTGTTGCAGCAATTGTTATTGCTGCTTGTTGCTGGCGTCGCAGCATGTGGCAAGGCTTTTGTTGCCGCTGTCGCTGCTGGCAAAAATGTTTACTTGTTCTGCTTGTTTTTACATTTTTATAAAGGGTACTCATAAGGAATGGGGGTATATTGTCTGTGTGGACACAAGAAGAATGGGAATAAAACCCTTAAATAATAGTTAAGATAAGCCACTGGAGTTTATTTTCTTGCACCAAAGAGCCTATTGATATATACAGATAGAATCACTTATCACATGTATATTGAAAGTAGGTATCTTGAGAGAAACGTTTAAACTGCGGCTTATTAAATCATAAGTAAAACCCTATAATAAGTTAGTCTGTAAAGTTTTTGACATTTATATAAATATACCTCAATGTAGACATATTTTCGTAGTTTTCAAATAATACAAAAAATGTTGTTTAATGTTATCTATTGTTATAGATCTATAGAACTATATGTTTTCCACAGCCCAAATACTTTCTTAATAATGTACATGGAATACCTTAAAGCTACAACTTAATTATATAGATACATATATTCGTTTTGAATAATTTACTTATCCATCTGTTTTCTTAACATTCCTTCTTCTTAACTAAATTGAACTATAACTACTTACTATACATAACAAAATTATATAATTAGCTTGTCTATATGTCAGTCGAAGTATACAACAATCTTTAATATGCACTTTAAGGGAAATCTTCTCTTCCCCTAAAGCGTATACTTCAAAATATATTTTTTTCGACCATTCGTATTGGGTATTCCCCATTCGAACTATAGTTCCACCGACTAATTTCTTTTTCAGTCTGCTCCTGTTGTTGCTTCCGCTGTTTTTGTTATGTTTGTCGTCGCTCGTTTGTTTCTGTTTTGTGCCGCCAACCCCCTGGAAACCCCCTGGAAACCCCCTGAACCCCCCTGAAAATGCGGACCCCTCCGCCGCTGGTATTTAACATTCATTTGAAATTGTCATGGCCCGCTGTTGTTGGTGGACGGGTCTTTCCTGCCCGACGATTATGTTGATTGCAGCCGAGCTTCCTGCCCGGTCCCCCGCATCCTGGCTCCTTATTGTTTGGCTAACTGAATGATGGAGCGCTCACCACTCCTAGGATCGGATCCTAACTCCATCCTCCCCCGGGCATTTTATCCACTCATTTAGCTTTTGTGCATTGACATTTCTGGCTGAAGGGGGGAGGGGTGTAATGTTCATTATATCCTGTTGATCTGCTCCGAAAAAGGAAGTGGGCTTGGAGTTTTAAAAGCAGACAGCCTGTCAATTGCATGCTTATGTCGGTTATAAAACCGGCAGATGCAGATACCCCCTCTGCAGCCATAAATTGCTAAAGTTTTGGCAGCCTTTTCGAGTGCGTCTCTGTCAACGTTTTGCGACCCCCTTTTTTCAGTGATTTCCCCACCCCTCCAATCACTGGTCGGTGGCTGCAGGCAAAAAATTTGCATTTTGGGCATAGACTCGTAATTTGATTTTTGACAAAACGCCAAAAACTTGTTTAGTTTTTGCCTCACAGAAGTTTTTGGGTATGTGTATTTTTCGGACAGGTGCAAGTGATGTGGAATGGTGTGTGATAATTGTAGATGCAAAATGATATTCAAAATAGAGTATTAAAATAAATAAATACCATACCATACCAAAATAAACAAAGAATTAATTTAGGAATTGGTTTAATTTACTAAACATTTTATTGAACAAAGGGTGTGTATATTTAAAATTAAATGTAACAAAAATATTTGTTTTAGAGCATGCCAAGTGTAGTGTACTGCATTTACAAAATGCCATTTCTTGTTTTATTTATGCCATCAGTTGCAAGTTCGTCCGTTCGCCCCCAGCTCTTTTCAGCATTTTTCCTTTTTGGTGGGCTAAAATTTATATTGCGAATTTTTGGCTGGCTTTTGGAAAACTTGCCAGCGCTTTTCCGCTGGATTTTCCCCCCTTTTCGGACTGCGTCGAATGTCGCTTCATTTATATTTCAATTTTGATTCGTTTCTTGTCAATCAGTTAGACAAGCGCCTACCCCTCGGAGCTAAAAATGTAGCTGTCTGTGGCCTTTCGCCGAACTGAAAATGTTTCAACGTTAATTGAAAATTTATTGAGACAAATTGTGTTTTATTTACGCATTATTGGCGTTTTTCCTTTGGCCCACGATGATGAGGGAAATTGGAAATGGGAGTAAAATTAAAAATGAGAATGGAATCCGAGCTGGATCAGTTCTTACTTAATAAAGCTTTAATGTGATTGCGGGGGAGTTCGGTTCGGGTTCAGTTTTTCACCTTTGTTTTCCATAAATTGCGTGATAAACATGCCAAAGTCATTACCGCAAATACCGTTCGTCAACATCATCATCTGTAGCCTGTGCTCTGTGCTTTTAATTAATGCAAACAGATTTAACTCATAAAGCCGTGTGTGCGCTTAATCATGCGCGTTACACGTTACATAAGTGAAATGCTTCGTGGAAATTGATATAAATCAATTGTCGCACAAACAAAAGTGACGAACGAATCGGTATCGCCTGCCTACACAGAAAAAAAACCGAGCCAGGATCAATTTGATATGCGCATGGTAAATTTGTGTTTTTTAGACACATATCATTTTTACCATCAAATAATGTCAAATTGATACCAAAAAATGTCAAATTGTCGATTTCTCTCTTTTCGGAAATTTCTTGACATCGAAAAAGAGAGGATGTAGCAATATGGCGACATCAATCACGTGAGTGGAAGCGAAAAGGATATATTCGAAATTCGAATTGGGCTAATTCGAACATGTTGTCTCGCTTGCACTAGGATGCGTTTTAGTGGATTTTTTGCCACTTGAATTTTATTTTGATGCAGGTCGGACGTGCATGGTCAGTGTAGTGTTTCTCCAAGTTGAAAAAAACAGGTAAGTAAACTTCATATATAATGTGTATACGTATAAAGTGTTATAAGAACATAATAAGTGGAAAAAAATAAAATCGTGTGCGGTTTTCTGAGTGGCTTTTACTATACGACTGCCCTACGACAAGAAAAACACGTGCAACTATGTGTGTACATACATACATACGTACGTATGTAAGCGTGCGTATCTGTAGAGGCTGCGCCGGCGTGAAAACAAATTTAACAAGTAACATAACATAATTGCATTTAAAAATTAATTTTTATTTCTACGCCGTCCTGCAAAGTCGCTTCTCATACACACTTATGTATGTATGGACAGATGCACGTGCTTTTCATTGTCGTAAGAATGTGCGTGTGGGTAGTTTAAAAAAATGCATAAGTGAAATTTATATATCGAGAGTTTATTTAATTTCACTTGTGCATTTTTTTGCTTCTCACACGCACATTCTTACGACAATGAAAAGCACGTGCATCTGTCCATACATACATATGTATGTGCATGCGTAACTATGTGTGTATGACAATGTGTGTCTTGATTTAGCGAAAATTTAGTTAGTTTCACTTGCGCATTTTTAGTTTCTCACACGCACATTCATTCGTATGAATAAAAATTTACAGTGTTTTTGCGCTCAAACACGTACACACAAATGTAAATATTGGCCCTTTTTTTTTTTTAGAAAAAATGACGGAGTCTGAAAAGGAAGAACTATTAAGTTTCTTGACTGATCAGGACCTACCAATGTCCTGTTACGACTGTCTTATTGGTAAATATAAAACAAATATAGTGTATTAATTTACAATTTTGGTTTTCAGATTGTTGTTTTACTTTCCAAAGGCTCAAATATATAAACGATAGCGACTTGCTGCATATATTCCCAAAAAGAGAGCAGTGCGGGATTCTGGATATTCTGGAAAGTTTTTGAAAAACAATTTTTGTTATTACCCAGTTAATTGAAGTTTCCAATTTTAGCGACCATTATCAAGCTTATGTGGTGGGTGCTGAATTGGAAAATTATAAGATTGATAATATAGAAAACTTTGAGGGCCCGCCGATTCATTTGTACATAAACTCTAGTAATAAGCTAATAAGAATAAAGAAATTTTAGTTAATAAGTATATATAAGTACAAAAATAAAGATTCAACGTAAATATAAAAAAAAGTGTAGATATGAAATATATATTTAAGTACAAAAATAAAGACTCAATGTAAATATAAAAGAGGTGTAAATATGAAATACAAATTCTTTGTAAAAACTGTAATAGCTAATAAAAACGTATAATCAAAAAGATTTGGCATATTATTATTTATTTAAATTTGTGTTTGACATTATAATATCAAATTTACAATAATATCATTTTGGTATTTTTAATATCCAATCTACTACAATGTAGATTTGAAATTATAATATCAAATTTACAATAATATCAATTTGATATTTTTAATATCCATTCTACTACAATGTACATTTGAAATTACAATATCAAATTTACAATAATATCAAATTTACAACCAAAACATTTCAAAAAATTGATACGCTATAATGTAAAAATGATATTACCGAAATATCGTTTTTACAATTTCGAACATATCAAATTGATATGTGCCGTATCTAGGCCGAATTGATACTGGATTTCATCAAATTGACCATCATATCATATCAATTTTTTTTTCTGTGTAGGTGGGCAAATAAAATGGTTAAATGGCATCGAGAGCACAATTCACAAAAGGGTCCATAAAAAATGGAGCTTATGTCACTTCATTCGATGCCCTATTCCCATGACAACTTCATGAATAAATCCCCGCCACATCGATGCAAGTGCGGGAATTAATTTATATGATATGTAAATTAATATGGAATATAAAATTTGTGCAATTAGCCGCCTGAATTGATTGACAAGAGATGTCTCTTTTTTGCACGCTCAAAAAATGATCAACAAATTATTTGGTCGAAGCTGATTAAATTATAATTAAATAAATACATATTTGCTTTGCCATGGCAATCTACATTTAGAGTGATTTTGAATGAAAATCATTTTTCAGGGATTACGTTTCATGCGCCAACTTGTATGAATTAAATACAAATGGAAAAGTACTTAAAATGGTATTGTTATATATGGAGGATTTTGATATTTGTGGTTATTATGAAAGTAGTAATTTTTAAAATCTCCAAAATAATACAAACTGGTTATTTTAGTTTCCAAAAACTTATAAGACTTTAAGGTTCTTTTAAAAGAAATCTATATTGGATGGTAGTATGAAAAGGAACTTTAAAAGGCTAACAAAAATACCATTAACTTTGCTGTTTCTCTGTATTGAAAATCTCTAGAAAACATTATTTTTATTGTTTCTTTCTTAAGTAATCTTCTTAATCCCTTACTTTTTCTTATAAATACCCTCGATTGTTCTGCACATAAATTACCCACACATTTAACTGATCCCAAGAGCCGGTTTTGCTTTGTAATCAATCAATTCCCACTGCGGACTCGATATTTTCATTTGAATTTCAGCTGCTCAGTCAGTCGATGGGGCTGTTTCCACTTGATTGCGCTCCACAATCAATTTGTTTGGCAAACCACCCACGCACCACGCCACTCACGCAAATTATTTAATTATTTATGCAAATAAATAACTTTATATTGCACTTAATTTTATTTTTTGCTTTGCGTCCATGTGCGACGTGCCAAACTGAAGTAAAAAAGATTTTTACGCCAACAAAAGGTGTCAAATGGACTTAATTCATATTATCATTTTCGCTGCGATGTGTCTTTTTTTCTCTGTCTGTGACATTTATTATTTATTAGTTGCACTTTAATATTTTATGCACACATTCTGTTAGTTTTTTCATAATTTATAAATTGGCCAATTGTGCGTGAGGGCTTAAAAAGTGTTCGTTTTTCACCGATTGGCGAACTGGGGGGAAAATTGGGCAGGAATGGAATACTGTACACACTGGATCTGACAATCAATGAGCGTCGAGAGGCATAATGAAGTTGATGCGCCATTGTTCCGCACGCCTGTCAATAAAGTGTCAATAATTTATAAAGCAAACAGAAGTTGTCCCCGGCACAATGCCATAAACAGTGTTGCAAAACGGTGATGAGGGGTGTTGCCATCCAATGGAGACCCAACTCAAAGCGAAAAAAGTATCGCATCTAATGCAAATATTTGCCTTCTGTGCGCGACTCGCTGTTTATTTAAAATTTATTAAAAAGAACCCAACAAATTTTTACATCACTTCGAGGGAGGTGTTTGTACTTATATGTATTATATGATTGCAACTCGTGTTGACACACTTATAGCTCATCAATGTCTGTCTGTCTGATGGGATTGATTCAATTCAATTCCATTCCTTTCAGCTCCAGAGTTTGCCTCGTGTAAACACTGGCAATTTAAATAATTAATCCATAAATATTGTATATTTAAGCGAGTGAATTGATTATGACGAAGACAAGACACGCTGGCTGCTGCTCAGGTATTTGAATAATTCAATTCCATTGTAATTACGATATTTGAGTAATTAAGCAATGGACACTAGGCAAACAGTTGAGGTGTTGGTAAATTATTAAATAAGTGTTGGACACAACAATTTGCAGATGGAAATCGCTTTGCAGTTTAATTTGAATTGCTCGATTGTGGTTGCCAGTCTTTTGTATCTCATCATGGAATTCTTAAGCGCTGGCTGCAAGTACGTTTGGTTTTTAATCGGATGGAATGTTTGGGTGAACTTGATTTTAACATTTTTAAAGAGATTATGTTTAGAGTTTATTTTTTAGTTTTGATAGTAGTTAAATCAAATAACTTTTAATTTTTCCATCTTATTCATTTCCCAATTCATTTGTAAGCAAACTCTATCTCAAACATTCAATAATAAACCGCAAATCGCACACAAATCACTGTGGAATGCCCTCCAAGTCCCGGAAAACCACCCGATGAACCCTGAAAACTGAAAACTGAACACCGCAAAGTGGAAAGCTGGGAAAAGGGGTTGTAAAGTGTTGTAAAGTGCAGCCAGGCGCAAGACTCATGCGAATGATTAAAAACGCGCGCCTTCTAAAACTGTCAAAGAGCCTTTGGCGCGGGATTTTATGATGAGAAAAACTTTTGAAGCGAAAGTGCGAAAGCACCGCCGCTGTCATCGTCGCAGGAAGTCCCGAGACCTGAGAAATTAAAAGGGGAAATCCCTGAAAGGAGGAAGAAGGAGCACAAAAGCCAGGTGCAAGTGCACGAGGCGCCCTGTAACCGCTGCATTTGGTTCTTTTGTAATCAAAGTTGCCCGAAGATTATGAGACGTCGAAGCAGCCGGGGCATCCAAGGTGCCAAGAACACAATTCCAGATCCTAGACCTGCGGATAGTCAACAACAGGCAACAAACAATGCCAGTGGCAGAGAAAGCCTTTCTCTAATTCCCAGCTTAAGGTGCCGCAATAAATGATAAGCAAAATCATCAACGACTCTAAAATGCCCTTTTTTTAGTATTAAAATTTAAAGATATATTTTATATTATTATCTATTATTGTAAGTATATATATTTTAATAATAACAATTCAAATTGGTGTAAAATCATAAGTATTTCAATAGTTATCGTACTATTTTGGTATAGGAAATTTCCAAAAAAAAGTAAACATTCTTGAATATTTATAAATAAAAGATATAATTTCTGAAATACCCTACAAAGGAGCAAAACAATTAGAGACTCAAAAAGAACCCTATATCGGCGTGTGCAATGCCAAAAGTGCCACTCGAGTGGCGGTGGGAAAACAACAATAGAGGCGGGAATTCAGAATGGAATGGTGAGTGCGAAAGACAAAATGCAAGATGAAAAATGCGAAATGAGCGGGGAAAGCGGGGAAAGCCTGGTGGAAAACCTGAAGGAAAGAGCAGCCCACCGAGTGTCTTATTTTAGTTATGGCAGGGAGCATCCGTCTGGGCCTCGGGGCCAAAAACTGTCGAGTGTCGTGGCTCAGCGACTCGAAACAAAAGTGCAACTGGGCCTGGGTTTTCCCTATGTTCTCGCGGGGTTTTCTATGCCCCATTCCCCTCCAAAAACCCGAAGAAGTTGCCGCAGATTTAGCATCCCACTTACAACAGAAAGACAATTGCCGCCGGCTCTGTGATGAAAAAAGGTTGAGGACAAACTGTTGCCTCGCTCATTCTAATTGAAAGCAGAACAACAACTGGTAGGTGTGCTGAAAAAGCGGGGGAAATAAGAACACTAAGCGTTGCAATTTGCACAAAAAGAAATTATGCACACAGCTCCGCCGGATGGGAAACAAGTCCCTGCAGTTGGCAGGAAAAAACCTGGGAAAGTGTCCTTGGAGAGATGGCCACTGGGAGATACCCTGGAAATTAGAAGGTCCTGTGGGAAGTAATTAACTGGAGGAAAAACAATTAGACAGGTGCGAAAAGATAGCAAAGGGTTCAACGAAAAAGACTAAGGAAATGGGTGTTAAGGAAAAGGTTCTGTCAGTATAGGGATTAGGAAGAATACAAAAATGCTACCTTTAAAATAACAAAGAAAGTATTACAAATAAATATAATCAGCTTTTCTTATTTATTTTCATGAGTAGGACCCTTGTACCAAAAGTTTTTTTTATAATAGCACTTACCGAATTTGTTAAATTCCTCTAAAAATTTATCAATATGAAAAAATTAAACCATTTTACCAGAGACAACATAATAAATCTATTTTTAAAGAAATTAAACAATACAATATTTTTTAGTTTGGTTTTATGAATCGAATTATTTTAATTATTATTATTTAGTAAAATATAAAATAAATATACCTCTTATAATAGAAGCTATCCTTAATATATATAACAAGAAACCGAAATCCTACTCCGCCCAAAATTAAAGAAAACAGTATAAGAGTGCAACTAGCACCTGGAAAAGGTAAATTCCTCTCCTTAACCCCTGCCCCTAAGACTTAACCCCTGGCAGCCCCCGAAAGAAAAGAGCTGCGGAAGTGCGAAATTGTAATAAAAAATGCAGAGCCACGTGGCAAGAGGGCGAAATGCCGGCTGGGGAAAAGGAAAGAAAAGCAGGGATCCTTGGGGCGACTTCTGCTAAGCTAAGGTTACCGGTACGGGGACTCCCCTGATCCACACTTCAATGGAGTTGCTTAAATCTAATTTGGGTTGGCTCCATCTTTCTGCCTTTTGTGGCATTAGCTTGCCCGGCACGTGCTTAAGAAATTATCCTTCTCCGCCGAAAAAAAATATATAATTTCAATTGCTGGAAGTTTCTTTGGCAAC